CGGTCACTGAGCCCGAGAGGAGCAGCCCTTGGGCCGCGCACGAGCCCTCCAAACCCAGAAGGCTGCGGGCTCAGAGAAGCAGGAAAAACATAACGTGTTATTGGCACGGCATGATGATTTCCTGGCAGGGCAGTTAGATTTTATATAGCCCTTATTATTCTTCTGAATAAGCCTTTATATCCACTTGGAGGGAGGAGAGGCTACATCGATATCCAGGTGTAACACACAGAGCGCCTTCTAGGCCTGTCCTCGGGGAGATGGAGGCCCCTGGAAAAACACTAGTGTGCAGAACCGGGGCGTGCAGCATCCTCGGCAGAAACGCAGCGGCCGTGGAACCGCGGACACGGAGCAGCGCCCGCGCCGGGGCGGCCGGGAGGGACCGGGAATGCCAGGAATGCAGGCCGGAAAGCCACCGGCCGAGGAGGAGGAGGAGGAGGAAGAGCAGCCCTGCGCGCGGGGGTTGCTGCCGCCGCGGCCGGAGCGCTCCGTCCCGCCACGTGTCAGTGCTCAGTTCCTCCTCCTCCTGCCGGCCTGCTGAGAACTGAGTGATTTACTATGGGGCTGAGTATTTTTAAGGACTTAGGTGTACTGGATTTTTTTCTCTACGCTATCATTGCAGGAGGATAGGGCTGGGAGATCCATTTTGGGACGTGGCAAGTCATAAATGCAAAAAAAAAACAAAATCAGCCTCCCGTTTGCGGTGGCCACACGTGAGCCCTGGCCCGGCCGGGCGGCCTCGGGCCGCTCCGCACGGCGACCTGCGTCCCGGGAGAGCCCCGGGGCGAGCGCGGCCTCCGGCAGAGCATCCCGGTGCCACATGTGGGAGCAGCTGCTCTGCTGGAGGCCTCTCCTGTGCCAAGGAGGAACCCTGAGTCTGCAGAAACGGGGGGGAAAGAGCCCTGGCACAGAGAGGCTGTGGAGGCTCCTTGTCTGGAGAGCTTCCAACCCACCTGGATGCCGCCCTGTGCCCCTGCTCTGGGTGTCCCTGCTGGAGCAGGGGCTGGACTGGATGATCCCTAGAGGTCCCTGCCAACCTCAACCTGTGACAAGGGTGAGGACAGGAACTGGCCCCTGATGCTGCAGTTTCTCCCTTCCCTGTGGCCACTGCCGGGCTCAAAGCCGCTGTTACAGGAATTTGGCCCCACGGGACCCGGTGCCGTTCCGGCAGGGCCGGCTCTGTGCTCGCTCCTGCCCTCTTCCCGCCTGCCTTCCCTCTGGCTGCTTTTCCGCCTAAGAAATTGTGCATGGTTTTTGCTTGACCTTTGATTTGCAGATAATTTACACTTTTTCTTTGCTTTGTTGCCATATTTCTGATCGCTTTTTTTTTTTTCTTTCTGCCTCCTTTTCTTTTTTTTGCGCATTGCCATCTACAGCCAGGCTATGTAAGAGACTTGGTAAGTGACAGCAACGATGAAAATTAAGATTAAAAAAAAATAACATAGTTGTAACTTCAAATAGACTAGAACACCCTTGGTTTTGAAAGTAGTAATTAAAGAGTATGAAAACATGCTGAGAAACCTGGGCCCCTGTTGTTTTTCCTATTGCTCCACAGTGATTCCTGATGCAAAGCCCCTCACTAGGACTCTCATAGCAGAAATGTACCCCGGTGGATTAACTAGAGGAGCCTGAATCCCCGGTGCCTGCAGGTCGATGTTTGCTTTTACACGTGTCCGGGTGCCCAGTAAAAGCAGCTCCGTGTCCCCGCTCACCCGCTGGGTACCGGTGGCAGCCGTGGCCCCGTCCCTGCCCGGTGCCTGATGACACACGAGCTGTAAATCACCTACCTTGTTAACAACCTCCTGACCCGCACGGTTCCCCGGGCGCTCCCAGCCGCTTCCCGCCCGCGCGGGTGTCCCGCTCCCGGGTTAAAAAAATGGCGCGCGCTGCGGCGGCCCCTCAGGCCGGTGTCTCCTCACACGCAGATCACGGCGCGGATCCTGGAGGCCCATCAGAACGTGGCGCAGATGAGTCTCATCGAAGCCAAGATGCGATTTATTCAAGCTTGGCAGTCGCTGCCAGAATTCGGCATCACGCATTTCATTGCAAGGTCAGTGGGTCTGCGCACCACCAGGCGGTATTTCATGGATAAATATCAAGAGTGTGTTTATTATTCTGAGTTTTCCAGAGATGGCTGTAGTTACGGATCACATACTTGGGCTACACTTGCTGCCAGTGACTTGTCAGGACAGTACAAACCTGTCACTTCAGGCAGAGATTTCCACATAGAGCTTAGGAAATGCAAATGCAAAACACATCCAGGGACCTGTCCTTAGCCCCAGGATAACAAGTTGCACTGGAACTGAAATTAAAGAGTATTAATCACCTTGTATCATGTTTTATAAGTTAATTCAGTTGCTGAATTTAAAATATTTTGATCTCTGCCCAAGGCTTGCTTTTGTTCCAAACCCGCCTGGACGCAGTCCTGTGCCACGTGCTCTAGGTGACCCTGCGTGTGCAGGGGGTTGGACTAGGTGACCTCGAGAGGTCCCTTCCAACCTTGAGCATTCTGTGATTCTGTGATTCATCCCCATATTTAGGTTCCAGGGAGGCAAGAAGGAGGAGCTGATCGGAATCGCCTACAACCGGCTGATCCGCATGGACGCGAGCACGGGCGACGCCGTCAAGACGTGGCGCTTCAGCAACATGAAGCAGTGGAACGTCAACTGGGAGATCAAAATGGTGAGCGGCCCGCGGGGCCTTCTGCACCCACCCCATTCCCTGGGGGTCGGTGCATGAAAAAGAAGCCGCTCTTGCTTTCACAAACTGTCTTGGTTTTGAGCTGACTTTGCTAAGTCGGCTTTTGAAAAGACCGTTTGTTTTGCTGCCGTTTTCAGAGCAGATCCAGTTTTGGTTTTCAGGGGCAGTTCTACTTGTGCAGGGAGGGTGATTCAGGAGCCTTCAGACAGGGGGGTGGGTTGTTTTTGACCACTGCAAAGCCCAGGGATGACAGTGAAAACTCTGCGTTGCCCAGGCCTGCTTCGAGGGGGCAGGCAGATGGCTCAGGCCAAATAACCCTGTGGTGTTTTAAAGATTTTACCTCTTCTGCTGGAGGTGGCTCTAGGAGGACAATCTTCTGCATCAAGGTGAAATAATTTCTGTTCCTCCACCTTCCACCCTCCTCTAAGGTCTAGTAGAGCTTGTCCTAACTTCTGCTGGAGTTCAGTCTGAGCCTAAAAACAGAAACAAACAGGGTTTTTCTTTACCTGAGCCACACAGATGCTTAATGCCTCACAGGTTTTTCCAGTCCATATGAACACCCACAGAAAGGGAGCCAAAAAAAAAAAAAATCAAATTTTTGTTAAAATTCAGACCCGACCCAGTTCTTACTAATGGCATAAATGTACTTAGTCTTTCTACATGGAAGGGCAGCTCAGACTTTGTGTAGCTACTGAGAAGCGGTACCGGGCTCCGCGATGGGCTTTTGCCCAACTGTTGCGAGCGGCTGCAGCCCCCTTTTGTTGTCCTTCTCAGGGCAAGACCTGATGAAAATTCCCAGCCACGGTTGTGATCCTTGCAGGTTGTTCTCACACGTGTGGGGCTTGATGAGACCCCCTGCTCAACCCCCCTTGCCTCAGAGCGTTTGTTCTGTCCCATTCTGCAAACCCCGATATCCCAAGTGCTCAGTTCAGATACTTGGGAATTCCGCAGCTTCCCGGGCTGCAGAGCTCAGTGCTGGGGTACGGGCAAAATAACGGGCATCAAGAAATGGATTGTTTATTTAGTTACTGCAAAAAGAGTTCCCCCCGTGCAAATAAAGAAACCAAGTTCTACTGCAGAACTTCATGTGACAAAACCAGAACACACTTGCTGGGAAAATGGGTCACCTGGAAGCCAATCCCAGCCCGTCACAATTCTCTGTCTGGTCTCTGGTCCTCTTTGAGCACAGGAAATACAAACGTCTGCTGGCAAGGGAGAGGTGCAGACACAGGCTGCAGGTACCCCGGGGCCCAGGAGAATTGTTCCTCCCCAGCAATAAAAGGTATTTCTGTACCTCAATAACCTCTGCGCCAGGATGCACACGGCTGTTTGGACAGCGCAAAGGGTGTCTTCTTCAGTGGAGGAGGAGGAGGCCGGGAGGAATAGCGTGGTCCGCTGTGGCCTGTTCTGGCGGGCGCAGGGGGCTGACGCGGCGTTTCTGCTCCCCAGGTAACGGTGGAGTTCGCGGACGACGTCCGGGTGTCCTTCATCTGCACGGAGGTGGATTGCAAGGTGGTTCACGAGTTCATCGGGGGCTACATCTTCCTGTCGACACGAGCGAAGGATCAGAACGAGAGCCTAGATGAAGAGATGTTCTACAAACTCACCAGTGGTTGGGTGTGAGTTCCACGTACTGTAAACTGAGAGGAAACCCCATGGCCATATTAATATTTAACTTTAAGAAGCTGTTATTTGAAATATGCTGCTTAATAAAGTAAGCTTGAAATGTATCTTTTTTATCATGAAAATTTTTGCATTACCAGACCAGTTAATCTGTGTGCACTAATGAGCACTTCTGTTAATTTGCTATAACAAGACAGTATCTGGGCCAGGTGGCTCTGCCTGTAGCCCTTAGATACAAACTGCAATGGGCAGATCAGCATAAGATGTGACTGACCTAAACCAGCCAAATTTCCAAGAGAACTCTAAGCCATCTTCTTTAAAAGCCATCCAGGGCTTAAGCTATATGAAGTCTATTTATCATGTTTAATGCATGAGTGTTTTATTTCCTTTTGTGTTGTTTTTATTCTGTAAATTTGACCTCCTGTTTTGAAGTTGTGCCCTCCCTAAGTAGCATTTTGATCTTTACTTTCACACTACGTGCACCAGGACTGCTACAGGTGCCTGACATTATTTTGAAGATAGTTGCGTGTGGCCTTAAAAACAACCTTCTGGTAGTCTGTCTGTTATAGCTTGGTTTGTTTGTTAACTTCCCTTTTGATAATCATTTATATTGTCTTTTGTTTTTTTTTTTTAATTTTTACACCATATTGTATTATGACACTTTTAGTATTCACCAGCATAGTCACTGTTCTGCCTATGATATGCAAACTTTTTTCATTTCAATATGAAGTAAAGGTCTATGAAGTATAGGTTTTGTGTAACTAATGTAAAAACACAAATTTTATAAAATTGTACAGTTTTTTTAACTAGTCTCACAAGCCAGCTAGAATATTGCATAGATCTGGTGTATCAGCATTAACTATAGCATGCTTGTAAGGGATAAGGGGAGCCACCTGAAAACTGAATCCCCCCATTTCAGCCCCATGTTTTTATCTAAATTAAGTTTGACTTCGGAGCTGTGCCACGACACCCAGTCAGTGATTCACGGGGCCAGGACCTCCCCGCATCTGACACCGGTGCAGAGTTAACGCTAACGGTGAGGGCTCTTCCACCCCACCTAGGAGTGATCAGTGTTGCCTTCTGGTAGTCTGCGGTTTCAAGACTATGTATAAATGCATTTTATTTTAAATAAAAGTAAAATCTTTTATTTAAGGCGCAGTTTCAAGGCTGGTTCTTGTGCTCTGAGCGCGCTGCAGCAGAGCCCCGCGCAGCCCCTGGTGCAGCCCCAGGCCAAGCTTGCAAAATAAAACCCCAAAACAGCAAAACCCAGCACAGGGCAGGAGAAACCCCAGCCAGGAGCTGACAGCTGGAAAAATATGTACAAGTACCTGAGGGGAGCGTGTAAGCTCCAGCTGAATTTGAGGGAAAAAAAAACCTTTTTCCTGTGAGGGTGCCAGAGCCCTGGCACAGGCTGCCCAGGGAGGCTGTGGAGGCTCCTTCTCTGCAGATCTTCCAACCCGCCTGGATGCCGCCCTGTGCCCCTGCTCTGGGTGTCCCTGCTGGAGCAGGGGCTGGACTGGATGAGCCCTAGAGGTCCCTGCCAACCTCAGCCGTTCTGTGGAGAGAGAGCGAGAGAGAGAGAGAGAGAAAAACAAAAAAAATACAAAAAAATACAAAACAAAACCTCCTTCCATGATCAGTTTGTAGCTACGTAATTGTTCACTCAACCTTCCCCTCACCTGCAGGTTTGTGTCTCATCTTTGCCCCTCCTGGGCTCTCCTGCTCTTGCTCCACCACCCCAGCACATCCCAGCTGAACAAGCCGCGTGTCTCACTCTGCTCCTGGGAGCACCTCCCTTTGCCATGGAGGTGGCCAGGCCACCGCAACCCCCTTAGGCATCAGCCTGAACGTGTCCTCACAGCGCGGTCCCTGCACCTGACATTGCTCAGGGCTGCTTGTGTGGCTGCCCCTCCTGATTTGGCATCTTTTTGGCTGATTATTGAGGCCTCCAGGGTAGAAAATTCCCCAAGGCTTTGGAAAACTGACCCTGCACACGCATTTTTCCATAAACACCACCCCTGAGAAGAGACTGCAGTGCAAGCACAAACTTATTAGCCATGAGAGAATCCCCCTCTGCTAACCGCGTGTGTCAGCTCGCACAGGAAGGGGCTCTTTGCTCTCCAATGGGGAATCATCCCACCCTCAGTGCTGCAAGACCCCTGGAAAAGACAAAATAAGCCACCCCGAGAAGAGACTGCAGTGCAAGCACAACCCTATTGGCCATGAGAGAATCCCCCCCTGCTAACCGCATGTGTCAGCCCACGCAGGAAGGGGCTCTTCGCTCTCCGATGGGGAATCATCCCGCCCTCAGCACTGCAAGACCCCTGGAAAAGACAAAATAAATCCATGAACCCCCCAAATCCTCAGCACGTCTCTGCAAACAGTCTCTGGGCACGACCCAGATGCCAGGGAGGGAGAAGCAGCAACCGGACGGCTCCCGGCGGCATCCTATCACTAGTGGCTGCTCCAGGAGAGCAAAAGCCACAGTCCCATCCTTAAATATATATATATATATATGAAAATGCAAACTAGATGTTGGGGAGAGAGAGAAATTTGGGCCACATTCATGCCTCAAAGTGGCAAGGAGGCTGCACCCGCTCACCGCTCCCACGGGTGCTGGGGCCCAGGCTGGGTCAGAGGCTGCTGAGGCTGCGCTGGGGGTTTCTCCCTTTTTCTTAGCTTGACCAAGCAGCATCAGAAGGTTTTCTGAGATCCCAGCAATGTGAGGAAGCCAAAGCCGTATTTTAAAGCAACTCGGAGATGCCAGGAGCTGTCAGACGCTGAAACAGTTTTGCAAGCTTTGCCTTTGAGCCACAGCTCCGAAGACAAAAGGCTGGGAACTGCCTCCGCGGAGCGATGCCACCCGCGCCACGGGGCGCCCGGACCTGCGGGCCCAGCTCAGCCCGGGAACTGGGTGACCTGAAAAGGCCCTTGGCTGAAAAAGGCTTCAAACACCCACCAAAACGCCGGGCCCGGCCGAGGCGGTGCCCAGCACCGGTGCACGGGGGCAGGCCCAGCAAATAAAGCATCTGCTCCTTTGGAAAATGGTTTTGGCTTTCAGTCAGCACCGGAGCCGTATCTGGACTTCCCGCCTGGGAAAAGGGGGATGTGAAACAAGTCGGCGACTCTCCAGGCTGGAAACTTGAGTGACAGCGGTGATTCCAGCTGGGAATTGCCCTCCACTGGTGCTGGGGAGAGGCAGCGGGTCGGCTCCGGGACAAACCCTAAGAGACGTGACAGAGGGGGGACTGCAGAGCCAATGAAGCAGCCCAGCTCCAGCCTGCCCCAAAACCTCCCCCTTCACCTCGAGAAGCGGCCAGAGGTCGTGGGAAGGGATAAAAGCCGCTCCATTATTCCTCTTATTCCTTAATCCCGGAACAGAGCAACAGACTGCAAGCCCAGGCAAAAAGAAATTAAATAACTCCTCAATGGGTAGCCAATTTCAGCCAGATTTGGCAGATGGTGGGAATTGAGGGAGTTTCACATATATGTACTAAAAAACATAAAGTGCATGAATAGAGCATGGTTCTTTCGCCCCAAAGCCTCTCTTGGCAGGTCTGCCCCACGCGGGCTGGCAGCCGCAGGCACCGCTGTGCAGGTCCTTCTGGCCAGGAGCACTTCTGGCACCTGCCCATCCCAGATCCCATCGTCACTCCAGCCTGCTCGGCTGCCCGTTAGGATAAAGGAAAAACCCCGCAGAGTTTGAGCGCAGCCCGGGCGGACGCTGAGGTGAAGGGGACTCGGCTTCCGCTCGCTTCCAGCAGCCGCCCGCGGCGTTCCGGCGGCGCACGGCCGAGGTTCCCTGCCAGGAGAGCTAGGGATTCGGTGATCCATGGGCTCGGAGGGCCTGGGGGACAGCCAGGGCCACCTTTCACCCGCACAGCCGGCCCAGTGCCCGTCCTGCCCCGCACGTCCCTCCCCACGGCGCTGCCATCCCACCTGGTGCCTTTCCAGGGCTGCAGCTCCAAGACCGTGAGGCCTCGCGGCTCCTTCCCATGCAACGGGGCCCTCGGGCGACAGATCCTGCATGCTGGAAGCAGGAGCCAGGATTAGCTCTGTTTGTGCTTGCAGCAGCCAAGGAAAGCCTGAAAGTTGTAAAAGAGCTGCATGCCAGGCTGTGCGGTACGGCGGTGGAGCACAGGTCTCTTGCTGGGGCTGCTTTTCAATGCTCCGTGCAGGATTCAGACTCTGGTTTGGGGTAAGGGAGCACTAGGAGCAGCGATGGTGTTAGGTTCAGGTGGGATTTCCCGCACAAAAGTTGTTCCTGGGCCACAGGCAGGAGAGAGGAGACAACCTGAAGCTGCAGGACACACATCCCTCAGTCTCCACAGGCTGCTGAGACACCAGCTCCAGCCGGGAGTTCCCCCACACCTGTATTTTCCAACACTTCCCTTTCCTCTGCAGTTAAATCATCTTTGGCTTCTCAGCTAAAGATTGGACAATCATTCCCGGCGAGGTAGGCACGTCCCAGACGCAATTCTTTCATGACTGCACTAATGTTCCCGTAGGCGCCCAGGAAACCCCAATTCCCACATCCCAGACGGCCACGCGCCGCTGCTGCCGGATTCTCCCTGCAGCTCTGTCGAGCTCCAGCAGGTTTTCAGTTCATCACCCGCCTGCCAAGGCCCGGGCATCCCTCCGGGAGACACGTCCGTGTCCTCCCTCCATCGGCGCCGCCGCGCTCTCCCGGCACACCGAGCCGTTCCAGGCATTCCTTCCGGGCACCTTGGACATTCCCGTTCTTGTTCAGCTGCGAGGGGCTATAGCCTCATCCAGGGGAGGTTTAAGAGAGCCAAAGACACCAGTCCCTGGGACTGGCGAGCCCTGAGCATCTGTTTCCAAAACAGAACGTAAACAATTTTAGTGTGGCGAGGATTTAGCCGTTCCTGGTGCATTGTGTCATAGGGCCAGACGAAAGCAGAGCGCTTTTTCTCTCCTCATAAAGCAGGGTGTGTTGCAGGCTAAGACATTTACACCAAGCAAGTGCATGGCTGCCTTCCCACAGCCACGAACCCGCAGTTTCCGTGCCTTGCAGCCGCCTCGTTCCAGTGCCGGGGAACGTGGAGCAGCCACAGAGCAGCGATTCACTGCTTTTTTCCTGATTTTCCCTCCCTCGCAACAAAATCTGCCGCAGCGGAGCTGGTGGAGACGAGCGCATCTGTGACACACGTGGAAATGTATTATTTTAGCTTTCCCCTTGCTCTCTAGCAACCAAATCCTGGCTCCGGAGGCCGTAGGGAGCTCACCCGTTGGCCCTCGCTGCGTGACCTTTAAGGAGGCGCCGAGCGGCGCTGGTGACACCACGGGGAGAGGAGAGAGCCCCAGAGCAGCCCTGGGCCGGGGCTCCCTGTGGGGCCGGTTCTGGTTTCACCCGAGGTTCAGGTGGCCTCAGGGAGGCTGTGAAGTGCATGGAGCCTCCCCTCGATGGGAGGTCGATCCCTCTGCTTTGCCGCCAAGCGCTCCGGGGCTGCTGACACGGACGCGGGTTTGAGGGTCCTTCAGATGCATCTCCCGGGTGAGGATGCTCCTGCGCTGCCGGCTGACGGGAACCGGGAGGATGGATGTGGACGAGCCCGGTCCAAAAGGCACCGCTGCCGCACGGATCCTACAGCGAGCCCTGCTGAGGAGAGCTGGGCTGACCCCCTGTGGTCATCCGCGCGCTCGTGAGGTTTCGTTTTAGCAATTCTTGGCTTTCCACAGCTCCTTGGGTAAAACGCAACATCTACTTTGCATCAGCCCAACCTTGCCATAGAAGAAAAGATTTCAGGGGGGGAATTAAGCTGAGCCACCCCGGACACTTTTCACCCAGTGGCAACACATCCACACTCAATTGCTCCATTTAACCAGCCCTGGCAGCACTTTCCAGCTTCCTTTAACGTACGGGAGCAGGACGCGTTATTCATCCTTTAGCATGGATGAGATCCTTCCCATCACAGTTTTCTCTGTACTTCAAGGAAAAGAAAAGAGGGGGAAAGCTCACACACAGTCTGCATTTTACCCATGCAACGAAAGGCTGGCAGCGGTGTCACAGGTGTCATCTTGTCACTATGGGGCTGCAGAAGGGAAACAGAAGAATAAATAATTTGAGGGTGACAGAGGCCTGGAACAGGCTGCCCAGAGAGGTTGTGGAGTCTCCTTCTCTGGAGATCTTCCAAACCCGCTTGGACGCAGTCCTGTGCCACGTGCTCTAGGTGACCCTGCGTGTGCAGGGGTTGGACTAGGTGACCTCGAGAGGTCCCTTCCAACCTTGAGCATTCTGTGATTCTAATGTTGATTGTTTCCACGACAACAGAGCATGATTCATGCTGAGGGTGAAACACGAGGGAGAAACACGGAAAATGAAACTCATGCCTCAGGAGCACCCGTAATTATCTTGTTCTTGCTCCAGGCAACACGCGTGGCTTGACCTCGGGTATTCATAAGGCAGAAACCTCAAAGTGATCCCTAAAAGGTTTTTTTTTGTATGTTTTTTTTTTAATGGAAAAGGAAAGAAGAAAAAAAAGTAATTCACCCCCCCACTCCATTCCTGGCCCTGCCACAGCCCATCCCTGCAGCTATCCCTGACCCAGAGTAACGGTGCCTCCAAAACTAACCCGCCAGAGCTGGAAACCATCAAAGCACCTGGGGCTGTTGTGACTAAAGCTGCTGCCACCTGCAATTTCTCATGCACAAAAGGAACCTTCGTAGAGCGTGTTCACCGGATCCGTCTCACCACAGGGGCCCTCCCAAGTGGCAGCGAGTGTTGGATTTGGAGGGGAGCAGCTCAACACAGCCAAGCAGCCTCCTGGAAGGCCCTTTGGGTCCAAATCCACCTGAAACCTGCACAGACACGGAGCAGTCACACAGGGGGACCTGCCTAGTGACAGGCGGCTTCCACACCACCTGTAGATGGTTAATGACCCCATGGGCCTAGGCCCAGGCTTTACATTTCCTCCAGGAGAAAAGCCCTGGGGCCTGTCTGAACACATATCAAAATCTTTATGAGAAAGGCAGCTAAAATAAGAAATAAATTAGCTAAAATAAAACTGTAAAATAAACAAAAACAGGTAAGGACAGATGAAGCAGTGACACAGCAACCATGTGCCCATAGATCAAGAGGGGAAGCGAGGAACCGTGCACCTGAGCATGGGCAAATTCACTAGAAGCCAAGTTTTGTGGAAAAAAAATAAATCTACAAGTGACAGGTGCTTTCCCTCGTGGCTGGCACCGGCCCAGCTCAGGGGCCGGAGGGCACAGAGAAGCGGTAGGGCTGGAGGGGGGCAGGCGGGAAGGGCTCCGCGGGCCGGGACGAGGCCCGGCCGCCTTCACCACAGGCATCTACCCGCGGCCTAGGCCGCTCCCCACTCGTCTCTCCCCCGCCT